GTTTAAACACGCCCCCACATGTCTACGTCATGATGTGGGAAGATTTGCATAACACCACCCAAATGTTCACGCAAAGAAAGAAGGCATAACTTATTGTTGCTGCCACCATGTTGTGAAGACGCTGTGTGTTTCGTCGCAAAAGCAAATATACTGTTTGGCCTTCCAAAAGAGGACGCGACTAGAAATCAGTGGTTAAGTTGTATTTACAACACTGTTCCAGAACACTTCAACCCAAATATTCAGATGTGTGCATTTGATTTTGATTGATTTTATGGAGGACTGTTTCCTGATCCTGGTAGAGTAGACTACAATGCCGGCTGTTCTGACTCACAGACTGTAAGTACGTTTTCATATTTAAAGAATTTGCCACTGATGATTCAAACGCGAGTTTTGAGCAGTGTAGAGTAGCGCTTGTTGTTTGTCGTTTCTCCGATCACAAATGCAGACATGGTTTAATGTGTACACGGCGCGGCGCGATGCAACGCAACGTGTAAAAAGACAGTATATGTCATTATAGTCCCTAATTATGACTGGATAGCTGGCCAATCAGAACACACCTCGCTTTTCAGACCAAATGAGCTTTGTCAAATTCGACGCGTTTCAGAAAGGCAGGGCATAGAGTCAAGTCAAGTCAAGTCACCTTTATTTATATAGCGCTTCCGTATTTTTTAATAATATTACCATAGAGGAGAAACAATAATGTACAGTATGTGGAAAATAATGTTTTGTTTTTTTTTTACCTTAAACCGCATAAACATTTCATTACACCAAATACACAAAATAATGTTCTTTTTAGAAACATCATATGACCCCTTTAATACTTTTTTAGTCTAAACGCAGAGCTATTGGCTGATGTTCTTGTGATGCGCTTAATGTCAGCGAAATCATCTCTCAATATCTCCAAAATTGAATATTACATGTAATTTTCAGGCGGTCTTATGTCTACAAAACGTGTTATTCAAGAACTAAATGCAACCCCTATTAATGTCAAATCAAATTAAATATATTTTTATGACATTTTTGCACGAGGTTAACCTGCAGATGTCTCAGAGACTCGATCATCAGTTCACATCCGTCTTACAATATCGATCGATGCTGTCAAAGTCTCAATTCTTCCTCATTTCACATTCAACAAATATATTATACATTTCTAAAAAAAAAAAAAAACTTTTACTGAATTTTAGTTGATGTGTAAAACGTAATAAAACCTGTCTGAAGCGGTTTAAAACATAAATGCGTGTTGATCGAGTCACTCGGTCATCCTCTAGTTTCCCCTGAATCCCAGCGCACAGGCTGGCAATGGCATGTGATTGAGGTGGAAAAGCTGTCTGGATTTTGAGGTGTGAAAAGGGCTGTCTGCCCTCACCACAGGACCGAGAGGAAGGGAGGGAGTCCCAAACAACGACTCACACTTAAAGTGGACGACAGAACAATAAACTGATACTTGCTGTTATTTTGATCATTTTTGCCGCAAGGACAATGCAGTAAACTCCTGCCGTCGCTGGATTCATTCAATTATTATTGCTGTTTCCACGACCTGACTCGTGGACACACACACAGCAGTCCATCCGAATATAACTTAAAGAACTACAGCTTGTTGCTTCTGTTTTAACTTTTGGCTGCTGGTTCTGTCTTAAGAAAAGGGTGATCTGAAACTTTGCACTTTCGTATTTTTTAGGGTTTGATACGTGTTTAAATACACTATCAAAGCTTCTTTTTTTTTTTATCCGTATTTTCTTATTTTTTGCCGACCACGTAGCTACAGTGCTCAGTAATGTAAACATAGACTAGACTCGCGCGTACATAATTTATATTCCAACTGTGAAACAAAGAAAAATATGGGAAACTCCAAACGTTCAGTTTGAACAGTGTCGTACTACTACTGTCGCTAGTTTATTCGGGTTTATTTAAACTATTTTTAGCTGTATAGTTGAATACTAAACCAACACACACAAACGAACGGAAACATTGTGACTGAGATTCTCCTGCCACGCGCGTTAAAATCCACCGGACTGGAGTCCTTTACCTGGACGTTACCGTGGAGGTGTATCGAGCATGGAGACGGATTCAGTAACCGGTGGCGACGTGGGCTCGGTTCAGGGAGGCATGATTTCTTTAGACCCAGTGGTCGATGGGATTTTGATGGACTCGTTTTGCCAGCAGCAGGGATGGGTGCGGGTCTACGGTAGGTGATATTCAGTGACCGCGCTTGCTTTAGATCTGTTCACCTTAACACCTCGGTGATTTAACTCACAGGTGCTTTAAATATAATTCTGAGCGTAAATACATTAAATAACCAAATTATTTGGGGTTTTATTTTCTATCAGCCTATAATACCGAAGGGAATTCTGAGTCTTATGTTTACTGAAGCGTTGTCATACAGGACTGTTTATGGCAAGCCGTTTTAACATTTACCCTGCTTCTTATTTGGGGTAATTTCTAGCCTTTCAGTACTGGGGCACAGGCCCCGCATTAAGTAATTTTTATTAAAATGCTGTTATGAATATATTTATTTAAATTGTCTTTACCTGCAGCACAGAGTCAAACTACACACACAATAAGTTGCTTCATCAGTGACAACCCTTAGAAGACATCTGCAAGTTTTGTTTCTTAGAGTGGATTGTAGGTAAATATCCACATCAGTCAGCACTCCATTTGTTTTATTAAAAATAAATATTTTATAAGATTATATCAAAACGGATAAATTTGTGATTCTGGCATTGCTAGTTCTGATTCTAAAGTGCTGGTAGAAAACAACATGCTGATATATTATCAGGAAAAATTATCCTCAAGTTAATATATAGATTTATAATTGTTTTTTTGGTAGGGCACAGAGGTCATTCACTGTTTCTTGTGCCCCAGTAAAAAGGGTCTTGCGATTCACCTGTTCCTTATAACAAAAGTGTTTTCACTAAGGTAAGTGTTCATTATGTGCTAGTACTTGTTCCAGTAGTGACTAGTATTTAAGTTAATCAATAGCATTTGAACATTATTACTTGAAAGTATTTTTCAACGCAACTCAAATTTATACTAATTGTTGCTAGTATCCTATTCCAGTTTATATAGAAACTATTTTAGTACTTATTCCTTAGTTTCTTGTAGCTATTCAAATCATGACTAGTATATATTATAGTTTTTGAGTAACAATTAGCAACATATACTACCTGGAGTTTAATAGTTGATATATAAACCACAGATCTATTGAATAGTTACTAGCTGAACAGATACTAGCCATTGTTGGCTTATTTACTAGTAATTAAAAATTTGTATGAGTAACTTTAAAATAGCTGCTATAGTTTGTTGTATGGACTAATATTAAAGTGGCTTGCCATAGTAACACAGCTCTAATAGAAACATGTTGGTTTAATGGTCATTTTTCCTTACTGTTTGTGACTTAATCTATCAGTTTTCAACTTGAAAAGACACTAGGTTAAATCTTATATCCTTATACATTATATAGTTTGTGTGTGATGGTACAATAAATTTTGTGCCTTTAGTGTGATTGTTTTAACTGTAGTGTAATTTGTAAAGAAACAATGGAATGAATATATGATAGATTCCAATGTGTGTGTATTACGATTTGTGGTTAAGGGAAGGGCTGTGTGGAAAATCCTGGTTACACATAATAGGTCTGAATGTTGATCTGGTTGTGGATAATTATGTCTCCTAGAGTAGTTGTAATTGGAGACGGGGTGCAATAGGGAATAGACAAAGGTTTTATTTTGTTGACACATGAAAATGTGTTCTTGTCATGGTTTCAATTGGAGTTTTAATAGGGGTTGTTAATTTGTTAATGCACATGCAACATTTTAATTCTGAATTACAAGACTGAATAGTAGTGAGCCATGGTAACTGATTGTGTTTCCAGATCTGTTGTTTAATAAGGCTTCTTTAAGGCTGTGTGCACCCTATAGACATGTTGCCAGGGGCTGTTGTCATGGCAGCCTGTTGTCTTCTTATTTAAGGATGTAAGTCGAAACCAGGGACTTCACATGAAATACAGGACATCCAGTTCTGTCAACCCACTGTCACTGACTTTCATTTTCCGCCCCCCACTAATTCTGAGCTGAACCAACTAAAATCAATTTCTAAAAATTATAATATAGATCAACCAACAAATGAAAGGTCAAGTTACCCTAAAAATAAAAAGTGTCATAATTTACTCTCATCCTTATGTCATTCCAAACCTATATTGTTTTCTTTCTTCTGTGGAGCACGAGGAAAAATGAAGAAATTTTACAAAATCTTCTTTTCCATGCACTTAAAATGAATGGGAACTAAAGGTTCAAGCTTCTAAAAGGAGCAATATTAATTTATAAGAAAATTGGTCCATATGACTTGTGGACAAGTCAATCCAAGTTTTCTGAAATCATGTCATATGATGGATAATCTTGACATGCTCCATAGCTCTCTTTGACATGTTCATAAGATTCCAGATTTGTTCGAGCATCATTCCTTTGATACAATCTTAAAATGATAATCAAGTTCACAAAACAAGTCTAGATGTTGAATCGGACTGATTCAATGAGTGAAGTCACTGGATACAATGAATAATGAACAATCAATGAATAGTCAAGCTATTTTATGATTTCACAAGGCTTGGAATATAGTCATATGGACAACCTTTATGAAACTTTTATAGCATTTGAGAATCAGAGACCATCACTGTCTTCCGAATAACTCCTTTTGTGTTCCACGGAACAAATAAAGTCATTTGGTTTTGGAACGACATGAGGATGAGTAAACTATGACACAGTTCTCATTTTGGGTGAACTATCCCTTTGTTTTGAAATACAGAGCAGTTTAATCTTATTTTCCAGGCCTGCACTGGGAAAAAGTTCAAATCCAGATGACGTGTTGTAATGTGTAAAGAATTCACGTTTTCTCCGTTCATGTGCTGCCCAACACCCTATGACATAATTTTCAATTCTTTGGTATTTGTCTTTAACTCATTCCCACTGGTGTAAGCACAAACTCACAGTGAGACAGAAATGAGTCATTACTGACAGTCAGAGAGCAGTCAGACCTCTCACATTAAAGCTGGCCTCAGCATGGATGTCATATCATTCATAATTAAAATGACCAAGGTAGCTACATACTCATCATGTCAAACATCACTTCCTCAGACAGAGTGGAAATGAATCACGGTTTTAAAATAATCAGCGGAGCAGGGACTTTAGTTTTGGTGGTGTTCATTCAGTGACTTGTTATTACTAGGAAGTCTTTTTTTCTGTTTATAGATGTCTGGGGAACCTAATAACATAACTGCTCTTTTATAGTTGATGTTCCTCCCACAGGCTTATTCAAGGGCCATTTGTGTTCTATGTAAATAGTGTTTATGTGCTTTAAATGGGGGTTTGTATTGCATTAGGCAACCTATTCTGTGCACTTTTTGGGTTTGTTGTTGCCTGGAGTTATCTAAGTGAAATTTTGGAGAATATATAAATGCACTTCCTCTAGTCGTTTACACAAAGCTGGCGGGCGTGTAGGTAGCCCTGTCAGATTTGGCATCTGTTTGGGCCTGCTGGTTCAAAAAGTTTGCCTACATCCACAAAGCTTCTTTCATCATGCCCCTCATATTGAAATGGAAAGGTACGGGACGGTTCTGCCATGGTGGATGAAAGTGAATGCTGTTGAATGTTTGTGAAGTTGCTGCTTAGATGTGTTTAATGTTGTAGAGGAAGCTGAGAGAGGGTGGGGAGGGGTGGGAGTGAATGGTGGGATTGTGTTAGCGGCGGACAGCTCAGGATGTGCTCCCCGCTGCACCACCTCCCCTCCACCCAACGTAAGCCGTTCGTTCGTTCATTGTAGCTGTCAGCAGACAGGGCCAGGATTATGATGTAAGCAGACCATTCCGAGAATGACCTCAGTGGACTGGATTCCAAAATTCCAGAGCAACCGGCACCAGTGCGTTCATCATGGCATTCCAGAGCTGAAATAGCTCAATAAGGATGCTGGCCGGCTTGTCTCCTACTCACTTCCCTTATGTATCTGTTAAGAATACTGTTTTCCATGCCAACTTGTCTATTCATGGACTTGTTTTGGCCACGGCTGTTCTTTTCAGCGGTGATTATAAAACATTTCCGTGTGGCCTTTCAATCAGAGAGAAGAGCTGCTAAGTATTAGCAAGTTAAACTGACATCAGTTTCCATGTGCTGCTGATCTGTATGTTCAAGTTCGGGATACACTGCTTTTAATTCTTATTTGATCGAAAATACAGCAACACAGTAATATTGTGAATTTTTTTTTTTTTTTTCAATTTAATATAACTGTTTTCTATTGATATATTTTTATAGAATATATAAATCTTTTAGAAATGTCAAAAAAATTCACATGATCCTTCAAAAATAATTCTAATATGCTTTTGCTCAGAAAACATTTCTTATCAATGTTGAAAACTGCTGTGGTGCTTATTTCTGAGAACTGTAATACATTTTTTAGGATTCTTTGATGAATAGAAAGTTCAGAAGAATAGCATTCATTTGAACTGAAAGACTTTTGTAACATTATAAATGTCTACTGCCACTTTTGATGAATTTAATGCATCCTTGCTGAATGAAAGTATATAAATGACTGACCCCAGAGTATATATCCACTTTTGATACCGATAAATTAAACAGATCTCTTATGTTGGCCAAGGGGTGAATATTCGATCTGTACTTATTATTTGAAAAATAAAAACACTAATCGAATTTAACTGTGTGTTGCTTTGCTGGCTGTAAATGCAGGGAATCCTACGCACGCAAACTTAAAGTCAGTTATAACTAAATGTACTGGGTGGCGCTGTGGAGCATGTTAACAAGTTGATTGTATTTAATCACAGAATGTCGTCTGCCTCCTCGCGAAGTTTGGAATTACTTTGATCTAAATGATCTTACAAAATGGAATTACTTTTGAACAAATAAATCAGTGAAACAATGAGAATCACATGAAATCTAGACACCACTGAGGAAAGTCAGCTGTCCATCACTGCATTCGCGACTGCAGATAAGCACAGCTGTGAGCCGAGGAGAGAGCTGACAGCGAAATGATCTTGAGACATGTGCTTCCTTTAAGTTTCCTCGAGGGAGAGTGGTGTAAGAGCACAAAGTGCTGTAAGAAACTTTGCATACCATTATCTTTGTGTCACTGGAACGTCTGTGTCGGCGCGTTTTCTTATTGTTATCAGACTAAGGAGCCAACTTTCACCCGAGCATGTGGATATTTTTTTCTCAACATTATCATGTGAAACAGTATAAACACGATAAGCATAGGCCGACTTGAGTGCTTGCTCTGCTTGAGCTTGAATGCTTTTGTTCTTCATATATATAGCCTAGCCTGTTTGTTTTCAACTAAAAGAAAGCCTTGAGATATAACGTAACATTGTTGTAGAACATTGTTTTGTCTAATGCCTAATCATAAGCTTGTTCAGCAATGGTGACAAAAACTTGATTATTAAAAAAATAACATCTTTCTCCTTAAACGTCATTTTAATAAATGGATATTAATTTTTTATGAGTCCAAATATTCAAATACAATATTTTTGAGAAATGCCCATCACTAACCAATATGATTTCCCATAGGCCAATGCTGTGTATCTATGGATCAGTAGAGCAGCAGCAGCTATGTCTAATTTTGTTGTTGAGTTTCTGCATCCAAGTTTCTGTTTAAAATTCAATTGCAAAGTCAGATTTAATTAAGTTTAAATGACTCAATGTGTCCTTGACTTGCCTCTCCATTAATCCCTGATTTTCAGTCTATTAAGCACCTTATAGATAAGGATTAGGCCCTGTTTAATGCGGATTGTGGATGCTCACTTTGTCATTTACATAGACTCTCGTTTCTAAGCTTATTAAAGGTTTGCTGGAAACGGGGAAAATGAGAAGCTTATCTTCTAGCACTTCTTCTCGGAACCAACTGGGATGATGACAGTTTTTCAGTGATTTCTGTCACAAAGAGTGATGAGTTGTGTGGAACACATGCTGCCTAGTCAAGTTCCTCATCAAGTTTGATGCAGTTCCCAGGTACTCCACACCAGTGTGTTGGTGAGTTGCCTGCGGTGCTGAACGTTCAGTTTGAAAAGCCCCTTAATTGGAGAGTCCTGAATTGAGTTCACTGTAGTCACAAGAGTTTCACATGCTCGACTCTGATGCACCAGGCTGCCTGCTTTGCCTCCTCTCACAAGGCTGGTTCAAAGGTGCCTTTGTCTTCTTAGATATTTTAAAAGAACATGCTGATAGTTCTGGACAGGTCATCTGAATAAATGAATGAATACTCTTTTTTTTATTTTTTTTTATTGATGCTTTAGTTTTAAGTGTGCATGTTTTAGCCTCTTGGAGAGGTCAGTAGAGTGCGGCGGTCTGGTGTTTCCCAGGAGACGAAGGCAGGTATCTGTCAGTTCTCCACCCTTTCCTTTCACTCATGGAGACTGAGTGGCTGGAAGACGATGTGATGGGATTCCAGGCGTTACCTGAAAACACAGGAAGCCCCCTTTCCTGTTTTCAGGCCTGTGCCTGATCATTCTTGGATAAATATTTTGCTCCTCGTCTTGCAATAGAACATGGTGCTGAAGAACATTATAATGCCCTGTATTTTTTGTATTACTACATGACTTTCTGGAGTACTTGATTCTTATTTGTCAATCACAGCATTCTGTGGTCAAATATGTTTCTGTAATGACTGCTAGCTGTGGTAGTTTCATATTGTGTGTATCACTCTGTGGTCTCTTCTCACAAAATAAGGTCATTTCAGATCAATATTTCATATAAATTTTTTATTTATTTGGTAAGTAGTCATGAAATAAGCAGGATAATGTTCAGTAAGGTGGTTATCACAAAATGAACCCCTTCAGGATGATACAAAATCCCTGAATTTGGTTTGAAATTTGCTTTTTTTCCCAGTGATTAATGATCTTGTCTTAAAATTAGCTAATTTTTATGCATGCAACTGAACTTTGCTTTAAATTTTTCTCTTTATAAATGAATGTCTGTTTCAGCACCCAGATAACCTTTGCAGCTTGTGTTCTCCCATCTGAACATTAATTCCACGTGCAAGAGATCTCATGAAAGAATTCCTGCCACTCTGTGCTATCGATTAGAGCATGTCATCAGACCGGTGGCATGTGCTTCCTGCCTGCTCTTTTAAAGGCTGATATAGGAGTGTTACTTCCCCCCTAGGACTCATGGATTGTCAGAATTGATTGGCTTAATTGGTTTGATTGTGACAACACCCCTAAGGTTAAACAACATCCTCTTGTTAACCAACTCATGTCTCTGCATTAGAAATGCACTGAGGATTTGGTGCCTTTGGATTTCTATGGCTGGAATGAGACTCATCCGTGCCCATAAGTAGCCCAATCCAATTATAAAATTCCACAATTTGTATTTATCCAGTGTAGCTGTGCATTCAGTGATAATTCATTAGAAGTTGCTCAAGGTCGGGCTGTATCCTCTGAGCAGCATATTCTATTAATTAAATGCTCTCTTGCCCCGAGTTAATGTAACTCGTGTGTTTTATCACAGCCCTTTGATGGATGTGATTCATTACGGCTGAGCAGGTCGAATGCAAAATGCATCAATAAAGCATCCGCTCATCTGGAATCATCTGAGCCAAGCTGTCAAGAGGGAAGTATATCTTCTCTGGCCTGTATGGTACACCTGCCATTGATAAAGATACGCATGGTTGGCAGATACAAGGAAGAAAATGAGCAAGATATCCAAAGGGAAACGATAAGGGATGGAGAAACATGAGAAAGACGAGGTGGTCTGATTCAAGATAAACCTTCAGGTTCTTTTTTTTTTTTTACATTCAGCACTGCTATAATTGATGACTGCTCATATTTGGTTGCCACTTCCTCTTCGTAAAAGCCTGGATGGTAATTTTCCACCTGTCTGCTCTGATTCACCATGACCACTCTGAGCAAAAATGCCTGAATAAAAAGGATAATAAAAGCCATGCTGCAGT